CTCATTCATGTTGCCTTTAAATTTTCAACAATTTTGAACCCTAAGGAGCACTCAGAAAGCAGTCAACACCTAAAAATTTCACCAAAAAATTCAGGTCATGAATATTGCATACTGAAAACGCAACAAAAACAATGCAGGGAATGCATAAGGTTTAAGAAATAGGTTGTGCATTAATTCGATCAATCAGGACTCATAAGATGATACCTCATGAATAATCGTGTGCTGTTGGTGACTGGAAGCATGAACAGCTAATGATGAATAAGAATTTGCAAAAATGGAGAACGGTTATCCGACCAATCGAAACTTGCACATCGAAATGGGTTTTCTTTCACGATTCCAGCAAATATTCATCGAAGCAGATTGAAATTGAATGCAATTTCCTATTGTTTTCTGGACATACCTCATTTAATTATATGACGAAATTGTTGTAATGAGGTTCGATCATCCGTTGAGACCAGAGAGTGGTATTAGTGACTGGAGAGTTTCGGTGATGGAATAACAGCTAATAACAAAGTCAAAAAGAATTGAATTACGTCAAACAGGATCTTAGATATAGAATGAAGCTTAAAGTCATTTGGTAACGCATAATACAAGACGATCATTCGTTTCTCGTGGATCAAAGAGCGTTGTCCATCATTTAGACAAATGAAGTTTCCATTCAATGTGTTTGTTATTTGTAGTGGAAATTAATCGACTTTCGGAGTATTTAAGAAATACTTGGAAACAGCTATAATACTTTAAATTTGTATGTTCCAGTACTCGTCTCCACCAGATAAATCGATCCGTTAGACGAATCATTATACATTGTATGCGTTGAATGAAAAATATGTTTTCCGCTGAACATTTTGCCGAAGATACTGAATAAACGCAATTATACACTCCTATTCAATGAACCCAGACGGACACTCGGTCTGTCTCGTAATAAAGAGAAGACGAAAAGTTGGAAGAAGAAGAAGAAGAAGCACAGTGAAAGAAGCATTTCCTAATCGAATAAAATCGTCGTTTGATGCAATCAAAAATTGAAAAAGCTATTCAGGCATTATGATCTAGAGTTTGTTTGCATATGTCATGTGCGCTTGAGCTTCGCGAAGCACAAAGACATTCGTGGATAGCAGTGAAAAGTAACGAGTACGAGTAGGGCGGTGTGCGTTTGCATTATAGTTGCCATCATAAGATTTGTTTGTTTTATGAGACGACTCCTAGTTTGGAACACGTCGTCAGAGTGCATATGACGAAATGTTGAATGCTGATGGATCAGTACTACACGTCATTGTTGCGCATTCCACATGAATAATGGTCATCGTTATTGTTATGGCACTGAACATAGAATTAAAAATTCAAACTCGGGCGCAACATTCGAATTTCACTGATACCGATGAAATAGCAATACCAGTGCATTCATACAACGCAATCAGGCGAAATGCGACGGAATGCATTGCAATCACGTTTGATTACACTTCGATTGTATATGAACACAATTCGAGGCAATTCGTCAGATGTGAATCTAACATATGACGAAACTACTACCAAAAGCGTCTTTCTCAAAGGATGACGAGGTTTCTTAGGGCTCAACTCAATCATCCGTTCACTTTCGTTGACTATTGATCAAGTCGTCTTGGCTGAATCTTACACAAGTTTCACTTGATGTTGGCTTAGGCTAAGCTCAGAGTTTGGTGAGCGGTGACGTGACGCCCTTGAAAATAGTGTTCGGAAAAAAAACGGTGTTGCAGCTAACTCATAACCACGATTTCATAACAATGGGTATTGTGTTGTTGTTCATTGCAAAAAGCCACTAAATTCCAGTGATGGACGGACCATCAATCCGTTGAAACCACATGGATGCTGCTGCATCAATGAGTATTTCGATTCCGTTCTCAGTTCAAAAACCACAACTCTTTCTCAAAATGTATTCTTAGTTCTCGACGGAATATTAGATTGATCTCAGGTGGAGCGATGGGCGTTAAAACTTTCAAACATTGCGAATATGACCGCTTATATGACAGCGTTTTGGGGAAACCTGTCATAGGACGACTAAGCATATTAATCACATAGGGATGCTCATCAAACACCGAGAAGAAATGACGACCTCTTGAAGATTTATGTGGCAATTAAATACTGATGTTGTTCAGAGGCTGAAATAATACACTTCTCGAAAAAAATTTAATGATTACACATTCGATAAAAGTTAGTGAATCATCCGGACAGAGCTTATTATTGCACACCGATTGGCAACGGAAACACGATTGCAAATCGCAAATGACAGAGGCATCGTGTTGAATTCACTTCGAAGTAGTTAAGAAATCAATGTTCATTGAAAACGCCGCCTGAGAAGTGAGCAATAAACTCTGAAATGTACTGCCCATAAAAGTAACTGCTCGAATCTCGATGTAATCCAGCAGCTGAATAGAGGTACCAAGAGAGGAGAAATTTCTGAAAAGAGGAATTATTCAAAAAATTCGGTCAAACATAATTACATTCACAATAAAATTTTCCAATCGCTCACTAGCAAATGCTGTCAAAAGCATTCGTGCAAAGCGTATGCTAACGGAGTTAGCGAAGTGAAAAATACTCTCAAAAATAATTTACATGAAGAGTCACTTCACGAAGACTCAAACAATAAACAAACATATATTATAAAATGTGCATAATTAGTCAATAAGACATATTACTACTCGTTCTTCAATAACACATTCCATAATGCAAATTGAATGAAATTCAGTAAAGTATTGCTGAGTTATTCAAGCGATCCGAACGACATAATACACAATGCTCATCGCTGGACGGCGATGTAGTAGTTCGGCATTACGAACATAAAATATAATTAGCGACATTCTCATGCATCACATGATCAAGCGAAAATTGTTCACAGATTATGAGGATAAAGAAGAGTTTTCATTGCTAACGTTATTTGATGAACAGTTGATAGAGTAGGAAGTGAGGTTTTTGGTCGGATAAGATGCAACATAAGCAAGTACGCCTCTAATGCCTTTTGGAATAAACAATGAAAGATGAGGAGTAAAAAGTTGGTAAGTAAATTACTTTTTAGTGAATGGATGGATATAGTCGATGATTCTAGTGGGCACTCGCAAATAAATACGCGCATAAAAGCAGCGAGTTTGTGGCTGCTGGCACTATTCAAGTTGGTGCCAACAACCCGTAAGCTAAGATCAACATTCATCCGTGTAGCTGATATGCATGGTTCGAGAGTGATGCAGCATGAATCGTCGTCGTCGTCTATCTTTTCAACTGGGCTTCATCATCTACGACGAACAATGTTGTCAGTTGTTGAGGCTGCTCAAGCATTATTCAGTTGGATGTCGTCGTATGCAGCATCACCAAGCATCATGCATGCTCTATGTCGTCGTTCTCCAATCGATATCAGCACCACATAATTCCTTTGAAAATGCATGAATTAAGTCAGTCATTATGCAAGCAATACATCCACATAGGCACACAAACACACACGCATTTCTTAGGTGCACATCAGCCACTACACTATTCATATCATGCTATATTCTGTCTACAGCTTTTCTTCCTCATCTATAAAATCGAGTAGGATTCCCAGATAATATCGACGAAAATTACTCGTTTTCAGCGTGAAATCCCATATTCAGTGGTCAATCTACTCATATCCATGTCTATCCATATCTTCCCAACACTAATCACCTTCTCATTAGTGCATTTTTGTCTTTTTCCCCGACTTCATCGCCAACATTTTCAAAATGCACAACCCAGACTTGCTTTAGATCAATTAATGATGAGTATTTTAGACAACTTTGGGCATAATGGATGTTGCCGTTTCTCGAAGTGAGTTAGCAGTGATTGCTGAACGTGTGCATATTTAATGAGCACGAAACATACTCAGCTCATCAAATGATCGAAATTCAATCCGTTCGCCGAAGCCTTATCAGTTCGATGCTCACGCAGTGAATAGACTTCTTCCTCAGCGGTGTCTGCAATTCAGACTGACGAGACGCAGTGAACGCTGAGATTGAATGAGAAATTCTTTTGAGCTACCAACTGCGATATCTGAAATCTAAATATTTGAAACTCGACACTCATCAACAATCTCAGTTTCTAGAACAACGTTGAATATTGAAAGATGATCCTTTGCAAGTATGTTTCACAAGGAGAGGTGTCATTTCTGCGATAGGGATATTCTTTTCTCTTGTAAAAAAATATTTTAATTGTGGAAAGCCGAACAAGTTGATCGAGAATGTGAACTGATTTCGATGAGTAGTTTCTTTTCTACATTCGAGCATTATTGAAACTTGGTGTAACATACATCACATGAATGTTGTTTGTTTACACGATGAGCGATTTGTTTGTTGAAAAAAAGAATGTCAATGTATTCTCCAAAGTCAAAAGTCAATAACTGAAAGAAGATCATTTGAATGAACAAGATGGATAGTTTTTTGGAGGAGAGAACAATGTTTTCATGAGGAAAAATTCGAATGATCATAACATCGTTGATGTTGTTTCTGTAGATGCTATACGAATATGCCAAAATAAAGAAACAGATCTCTTGACGGAGCATATGAAGAATGAGTGAGTGAGTGCATGAAAATGAAACAATTTAACGCCTCGACGAATGAACCATTATGAGCACCTATTGAAACATGAAGCCATCTTAAGATCGACGCGCTTTCAGATGATTTATTCGTGTTCATGAATCAATTTTTCAATCAGGCATGCAATTCAACAAGAAATTCTCATTCATCAGCGAAGAAATAATTGAAAAAAGAGCAACACGTTGTCCTCAGCTGCCTTTGACAACTATTCCAGATAATCACCATAAGCTTTCATTTTCTAAACAACAAGCTTTCTTCATCTACAAGCCTCCTGAGAGTTTTTCCGTTGAATGCAGTCGCTTCTCAATATCAGGCACTTGCTTCCTTCAGTCTTATATGATTGATTATCTTGACTGCAGTAGAGTATATGCTTCATTCTTGCGTATGTTCCCACGACAAGTGATGAAGAATACCACAAATCTTATTGAGCTATTTCGATTAGAGGGGAATTGTAGAGTCAGGGTTTGAATGCTTTCAACAAAATGAATGCAGCCCAAGTTTAGCACCTGAATTTTCCTCAATACATTGACATAATGCAGTCTTATTGGATCATGCAAAGACAAGATAACACTGAAAAGGTTCCAAAATGACTCGTCACCAC